ATTTAAGAAGATGTTATCAGGACAGGTTTCGCATTTTCGCTTGAAATGATTAATTGATTACCAAAATAGTATGAATAATTAATTTTCTTTCATCTAATTAATCAACAAGTTTTCAGGCTTATTATTCAGATTAAAACCTACATCTTTCTTAATGTCTCTTTCCAATTTGATGTGAATGTGTTCCTCTCTGGTATTACCATTACATTCGAGGGACAGAGCTAAACCATTGGTTTCCCTCAAAATAAATAACCATTGATTAAAAAAACAAAAACTAAAAAAGTTTTGGTTAACAAAATGTACTGCTGTTCTGAAGGTATTTCCAAAATCCTCAAAGACTGTATGAACCATGTGGATGAAAAGAAATTCATGATTTAATCCAAGTGCCGCCTTTTCTCCTAATCCAAACAAAGATGGTAGCCAGAGATGGCGTATCATATATATATATATGATATATTATATCAGTCATATGTGTCTGTGCTTATGCTGATTTGTATTATTTTATATTTGTCATTCAAAATGAGATAGTAGATCTGTCTTTTCTGGCTACCTGAAATGGAAATAGGCTTACAGTAAACAGGTTAAAATTCTTTCTTTTTGTTGTGTAGCAGATGTTTAGAGGAGTATTTGAAGATTCTGGAAATAACTTAACAACATCAGTAAGTAATGTTGAAAAACACAGGAGAAAGGACTTTTTCAAAGAAACAGATGCTCTGTACAGTGATGGCAGTAGCCTACAGGAGAGAACAAACTGGGGCTACATATAGACACACACTAATCTCTGCAGCAAACTGAATGCACCTGAACCGTCCAGAAAATTCTGTGAAATCCTTTCAACTAAAGTCAGATGTGCAGCTCACCTGAGACGAGTCATGCTGCGTCGCCTGCGAGCCCCTTTGGCTGTTGCTACCAGTGACGGCAGCCTCACAGGGGTCTTGGTCCCAATGCTTCCTCCTGCTGCGGGTGGAGGGTGAACAGAGCTGGTGAGTAAGTACGTCTGAACCAGAGCTCTACTCTTCTGGACAGCTTTCTGATGCCACGGTCCACCAATGTCCAAACCCAAGCCAAGCACGGCTGTCGGGGGTGCAGCTCCAGTGGTGCCACTCATTGGTCTCTGAGTTTGTGTCACACCTGGAGGAGAATTTAAAAACTCCTTCTAATAGTTAAATCCTGCAACACATGGAGGGGCCTACAAATAACATATATATAATATATATGATGGACAGATATAAAGTGTTTCCTGCTGCAAAGTCCTGGATCTGTGTATGTCTACAGCTGCAGGCCGTGGGGGGCAAATGGAGAGGGGATTGTACCGCTCCGCCTGTGGGCAGCGGACGCCATCAATGATGCATGTTCATTAATGATGGATGGCTGGAGCTGATCATGTGGACACCACCTCCTCTCCCTCTCCCTCTCACCCAGGTCAGCTTACAGACGGAGGGAACAGGTGGTAAACACAGGGCAAAGAAAGTATTTCATTGAACGTCCAGGAAATGTAGATTCAAATAAAATGCACCCTCACTCTGATAGTGGACTTGAAAATGCTGGATTTTGCATCACTAATGTTGAACGACACTTCAGTTATTTAATGGTTTCTTACTTGTTTCTTTTAAAGACATCTTATATCTAAGATATCTAAAACATTTATACCAGAAAAATCCAAGTGTTTTTTCATTTTCTTCTTGGCACTGTCATCTCCTGAACCCATACACTGTTACTGTTTTATTAACATGGTATTTGGCAACACTACATTTCACAGGTCTGTTCTTGAAAGTTTCCTGAAAATGACTACTGTGTGTGTAATTTGGTACTCATAGAGGAAACTGAGACAAACTTCTGAAACTGCTATTTTAGTTTACTGTGAAGAGTTTTTAAGTTGATTTCTAGAATAATTTCCTGGAAAGAGCATGCTCAGTCATGAAACTAAAAGACTCCAAGGTTAAAGTACATGAGAAATTAAAAGTGTACAAAATTTAGTGATTCCCAACCATGTGTACTTACTGTGGACTACTTCTGCTGTTTCCAAGAGATAGTTAAACACTGTGGAGTAGCTCGCATCCACATATTTAGAGCCACATACATATGTTTAAGAGAAAAATAAACTAATAGATGGACGAGAGGCTGATCTTTCACAGGCCGACAGCACAGGAGACACACCTGACCAACCAGAGGCAGTTGTTACACTTTAAAGCAACATGTTAGACTAAGAGTGTGTGAAGACAGAGCAGATAAGATGAAACAGAAAGCTAAAAAGTAATGGATAAATGGTTGAAATGTCCAGTTTCTGCCACTCCAAAAGTGTCAGGACAAAAGAAAAAGAGACAACAACAATTCAAGTATCACCCTGTCAATAAAAAATAACCACCTTTATTTAATTAATTATGTAAAATAAATTAAGATGAGCACATTTGGAACATGACAGGTGGCGTAAAAGGTTGAGCTCATCTGATTTGGCTTTTGGGGTGCATTAATCAGAAATGATTAAGAACCACTACAGTAACTGAACACTGTTTATATGTGACCCATAATTAGTGACTAATTACTTTAGGGATATACAGTCCTGGGGAATAAGCTGTTAACTAGCTTTTACTTGTTTGTATTCTGGGTTTAAGGTCAGAGTCAGATGAGTTTTGAATTTCCAACATGCTGTCATTATGTTACTTGAGCACGCTGGTATTGAGTTTTATTTACATGAACATCTTCAGTGGTCATAGATACCCCAAAGTCTCTGGAACAATAAAACACCAATCTTCCAGAAGATATTATTCCCTTACTGGCTGTTGATGATGATGTTGATGATGATGATGATGATGATGGCGAGTATGGTCTTCACCAGTGGTGGAATGTAACTATGTACTCAAGCACTAAATCTGACATATGTGTACTTTACTTGACACCATGTCTTTAAATTTAATGTACATATTCCTGAGTACTATAGTTACTTTACAAATTAAAATTGAACATATAAAGACATTTTAAAATTATGCATTGTAAAAAAAAAAAATGCAAATTGAGGATTAGTCATAACCTTGTAACACATTTTTATTGTGTAATCAATATTACCATTATTCATGAAAAACCAACATTTGTTTTCAGCTTTTAGCCATTGTGTCAATTTGCTGCTTTTCTTTGTATTAAATTACAGTAAACTGTACATTCAACCATAATGCAAAAAATTATATAAAACAGTCAAAAATTAGCTCGTGCTTGAACATTAATGCATGAGTAATAACAGTAGTACATAATGACATTTACTATATAAACTCAAAGGAGCCATGTTTCTGCATTGAGTACTTTTACTCAAAGGTGTAACATTTATTTCAAGCATTCTTGTTGAAATTGTCTTTACATCCCGATAACAATCAATAAATCAAATGCTCTACACAAAAACAAAACATATCCAATACCTGGGGCTGTTGACTGTCAACCACTGGCCCGTGTGCACTCACTGACGCATGAATGTGTGTTTTGGTGGAGTGGCTTTGGAAGGAGGCCTGAGAGGAGGGGGAGGGATTGTTTCAGTTGGGATACTTTAAAAATCTAGCTGTCTCTTGCTAGTTTCTCCAATGGTTCCCACACACAAGCTTAAAGTAGCACTTTCAATTGAAAGGAAGTATTTTTGCTTACGTAAAATATCTGTGTGGCAGTAGCAATGGGGGACTTGTCTTGGGAATCGGAGGGTCGACGGTTTGAGTCCAGCACAGAGCAGTCATATGGAGTTTATACTGGTAGCTGGTTAGGTGCCAGTTCACCTCATGGGCACTGCCAAAGCTGCCCATGAGCAAGGCCCTGAACCAATAATTGCTTGGGGCCCAGACTACGTGGCGGGCCCCTCATTTTGACGTCTGCCCAGGCATTAATGCATGTATATAGGTCATGTTTGTGCACAGGTTTTGTGCCTTTGTGTATAATAACAGCAGAGTGAAAACATTTTATTTCCTTAGAGGAATCAATAAAGTTGTCCGTCTTCTAATTTCTCCACCACATAGTAGTTCTAAATCCCTCATGTGGCTTTCAGTTGGGTTGAGATCTAGAGGCCGTGAAGGTCAGTGTATGATTTTCATTCGCAGCGAACCCTCGTATCCTGCATGGAAGCAGGGTTGGTTTGGCTCCTCCACGCAGGTTTTTCCCTTTAATCAGTCACCCATCTGCGTATTTGGCTGCTAACAGAGCGTGTTACAAGTGCCAGGGTGCAGCTTGGGTCAGACAGCGCCGAACTGACCCACATTCGACCTCCTACAATCGTCTAGTGCAGTCAGGCTCCTTCGTATCATCTTGCTCCACCTGGGCTGGACCTCCTCCAGGGTTGACAGCCAACCCTCGAGATACAACAGCGGAAACATTGCACCTTTAACCTTAATTGTAACTAGCTTCAAGGAGCTTCAGAGCCTGGGCAGTGAGGTGTGGTGGGAAAGGTGTGTTTGAATAAACAGCTCAGGCAAACACTTGTCTTTCTGTGAATTTTATTCAAGTCTTCAGCAGAAGGAACTCACAGGGACACATCAGAGTGTATCATCCGAGTGAGCTGCAGAATAACAGCTCATGAAGCTTTTATCTTAGTTTCAGGGTCGGATACCTATCTCAGAGGAACATGGTGTCCTTTCAGTGTTCCCTAGGGGACATTCATCTATAGAAAGACACCCATTTCCAAGGTACATGTGGTGAAACTCTTAAAGTCCTGACCCCTCTGGACATATGTTAAAGCATCACACATATTTACCTTCCATTGACCCCATACTAGGCTGAGGTGGTAGTTAATCAACTGGTCAGTGCTCAGCTGGAGCATTTCACAAGTGTGTATAAAACACATTAATTTGTTAGAATCTAGTGAAATTGCCTGTTTTTTGTTATGGTTCTACATTCTGCTGTAATTAAATTAAGTTAGACAGAATATATGCAATAATAACTAGTGTAAACTTCAATATAGTAAGTTTAAAATGACTCCTAACTCATGAATAAAATGGGTGATCATCTGCACTGTAATAAACACAGATGACAAAAAACAGGTTTATATTATTTATTATTAAAAGTTTAAGGCAAAAATCCAAAACAGTGCATCTCCTTCTCTGGACTGCAGGCTGCTTGTCCTCTGCTGGATACCTCCTGGTACTGCATCACCACCTGCAGCTCTGCAAGGGAGGAGCCGGGGGAGAACTGCATTTAGTAGAGATAATTAAACAGAAATGCTGTTTCTATGGTAAATCTACCAGTGTAAATACAGCATACATCACAATTTATGCAGTTCAAATCATTGTTTTCCAGTATTAGTTTTCTAGATTTTATATATGGCACACGTTTCACATTCATGTCTGAATGATAAACTGCTGGGGAACTAACATGGAAGTCATCCTGGGGTCACCACAGTGCGGTTGCTCGTTCTCCTGCAGCTCTGGCATTTTATCATCAGTCTTCATACCTACAAAACAGGAAGAAAAAAGACCAACTGTTATTTAACTTCCACAGTGAACCTACAGTGAATGAAGCAAGTTACTCTGAAAACAGTCAACAACATTTACCACTTTTAAAATGGGGGGGGGGGGGCTGGTTCTACTGCATCGATTTTGATCATTTATTCCGTCCATTTTGAGTGTTACAGGGGTGAATGCTAAGTCAGTGGCGTACTCTTCTCTGTAAGATCTATAAAAATACTGGGTTCTTCTCGAAACATACCACACTCTAATGAAATGTATAGCATTAATAGTACTTATGGGAACTATTTGGTATTGTGGATCTTACCATGGTTTAATGGTGTAGATTCTCAGCCTCCTTCCACTGGTCGAGGCTCCTGTGATGAGAGACAAACAATGAGAGCCTGGCAGTGAACTGGTCAGCAGGTTCCTACCATTACTTTGATTGTTTTATATACCCCTACTGTTGTAAGGTTGCCACTCCTAACGACAAAAAACACATCCTGTGGTTCTCTATGTATGTGTAGTGTGTGTGTGTTTGGGCAGTGGCTGTGGAGAACAGAAAACCAAACATGTGTTGTCAATGTAAATTCAGGTTATCTTAGAATGTGAACATGCATTACATGTAAATAACTCAGTGTGTATGTCAATGTGAGGAAAAGTATGAAGTGTAATGAATCTAATATACAGTTAGAGGCATCTCAGCACCCTAATGTACATTCATTTGTTTGCAAACTGCAGAGGGGGACGAGACAAACTCATGACAACGACGTTCAAATATGTTGCAAACCTCGGGGGAAGGTAATACTGTTACAAAGCTGGACTTCGTACTGATACATCAGGAGTGTTATTGCAGAACCCCAAACAGAGCTGGGAGCTGCACCATAACCTTGTACAGAAGTAGACTTGCTCATTTTCAGTGTCAGTCTTGCAGATTTTGGGCAGTGCCCTTTTATAAGAGGCCATTAGAGGCCAAAAGGGTTATTCTGGCATCACACTCTAAAAACAGGACAGACTAAAGATTTTGGCCAATCAGGATTGAGTACTTAGTTAGAAAATGGATCACAGTGCAGAGAAATACTTTGACAGCCTCCAGGGCTTGATTCATGGCATTGGCTGATCAGAGCTTGTGAGAACCATAGACTCCAGGTAGGACCACGGCCCTTTTACAGCTACAAGACAACTCCTGCGTACAAGCAACAAAAGGAAAATGCCAGTCGTGATGTACTGTATCGAAATGGCTGGCTGGTCACTGACATGACAAGTTAACAGGAAGAAGGACAAACCATGAGTATTAAGTAGTAACAACAGGAGAGGAAAGCAGCAGTCCGGCACTACCGCAAAATTTCACTCAGAAGAACGATTCACTTTTCCTTCTCAAAAACAACTCATTGATAACAAATACCCAACAACTAAAAGTTAATATATTATTTGCTGTTTTACACCCAAACCCAACCATCATTTAAGATCAATCTTCAAAGTTTTAAGTTTAATTTATTTTCACTGATTATTCATTAAGCGATTATGTGTCACATCACAAACAGGCCCCTTTGGTTATTTTTTTATATCTTTCAGGCAGTATATTATTGTGAAGTAGCAGTCACTGTTCAAAAGTATAAATCACAGCATTTTTATTGTGGCCCCCTGTTGAGGGGAAAAACAGCCTGGCTCAGAGGAAGTCAGCCGTAGGTATAAGACCGCTATCTTCTCACACCATATTGCAAGGTCGCTGCATCCTGGGCTTAGTGACTGGTTTAAAGAAATAAGTGGTCCCCCCCCCCCCCTTTACCAGAATGATTTTTTAGAACTACAGTTACCTTGATGCTTTGGGGGATGTAAACAGGAAGCACAATGTTGCCATGAAAGTATGCCGAATTTGCTTTTAGCAGGTCCTAATATACCCATGGATGTACAGACAATTATCACGGGATTACTTGGATAATGATGAAAACTTAACGTGGTGACTCAGTCTTGTTCTGAAGTCTTAAGGAGTGTCTATTTCTTTGATTTTTAGATGTTTAATCGTGATGGACATTGAAGACATGATATTCTTGGGTTAGTGCAAATCACACAATCTAAAAATGTCTGTTCAATTTTATGACTCCAAGAAAGTGAGACTTTTTAATTACGATAATCTGGCATTTGAAAGTACCTTAATTCATAATCTGTGTGTCACAGCTGCTGACATTGTTGGAAAAAAGTCTGCGGACAAACAATAACTAACTGTACGTTCTTTTCAGAACACCGGCATGCAACCATGGCAGTTGTCTGTTGTAATTAGCAATGGGTGTGGTCAGAGTGGAGACACTTAATGAGATATACTCCGCAATACAGAAAATATGGACGGAATTTAATAATTTAGTAATCTGTAATACAGGACAATCGTTGAATTTGCCAATCAGGCTTTTCCCTATCATTATTATAGCGTTTCTCACAACTCGTAAGCCAAAAGAACAGAAAATTTACAGGTATGTACGGGTGAAATAAATGAATAACATTGCACATACATTTCTATAGGCGTACTTGCATCATACATCAAATTCATTGATCCTATATAGCATTTTCCTATAGAATTATTGACATTTTATTCATCCAACACATGATTACACACTGATGACAAAATGTGCTTAAATCATGTAATAGGAAATTTGTGAAAAAATAATCTGGGAAAAATTCAGATTTCATAGGGCCCAAACTAAATCCCAAGTTTATAGTCCTTTACTCAATACAGAGTTTATTTGAAAGCAACGAGAAATTGCTCAAAATGATCTAAAATAATTAGTTTGAATTTTAACATTTGCATTTTCAAGAGAAAGAAAATAATCCACACCAAACTCCATCTACACAAACAACGTTACAATGGTTGTGTTTTAAGGATCAAAGTACAGGAAATCTGCACTTGATTAACAAACAGGATGTCTGACAAGGGGATTTTCATTTTCTACAATCCCACCCAGAGCAACCCAAACAGCATGAGACATGTTTCACTTCGCAACTGCAAAGACATCCCAACCCCGTCCCACAAAGATTAATGTTTATAGCTTTAGAGACAAAACCAGAGACAGAGGGAGTCAGGAGTAGTGATGACAGATGGAGCAGCTCTGTCTGTTACCAAGGTCAATGCAATGTCTACAAAATTCATTGATAAACAAAAGTGCTATAACATTTAAATAGTTTGAATCACTAATGATTTGTGATCCACACTAGGACTACTAATTCATGTGAAACAAAGATTGTCTGTCGCTCTTCTGAAATGGCGACAAATATATTGAAAAAGGTACAAAACCAGAAATAATTGTTTTTAGTTTTTTGATCAGACACTACATTATTTGACTGTAAAATGTAAAAGAAGCACAGCACAACCCCCCCTCCCCCTAAAACTAACCAAAAAGCCTTCTTAAAGCATTACAGTAGTAAACGCCATGAGTTGGGCTTTGTGTTAAACTTTGTACATTGTTGCACACAACCTGCCTATTACCATTGCTAATTACTTTTTAAATATGCCAAAAAGTGTGTAGAAAGAGCAAGAATCACCAAAGTCAGCACAAGCTGAATGACAAGTATACAACTGAAATATCTTGTACAGTTGTACAAGACTAATGCTTTAGGTTCATACTTCATTTTGCTAAATACTTCAAGCAGTGCCAAAAAAAATACATATCAGGATACTCCTCTCTTGACTTCCAGTGTTCCCAAAATGTCAGGTGTGTTGAGTTTCAGCACTGTGTTTAGAAACTCTAGTGTTGAACCAGTGACTCAGCCGTCCATACATATTTCCTTTCATGCATACATACAGAGAAGCCAAAGTACCACATACACACACACACTGCACGGGCTATAATGCTTTACCACATCCACACACAAAAAAGTTTGAACAACAGATCTGCACTGTGATGCCATTCTTTGTAAGTGTGATGCCAGAAGCCCTGTAAACGTCACTGTGAGCAGCGACATGGTATGAGAGAGGACAGAGAGAAGAGTCAAGTTATGGGACAACTCTGCATCTTGTATTATAAACATGGATGGGACACTTACCTTTACTTGTTCAGCTGATCTGTGTAAGCATACCTCTGGCTGCAGTGCAAACAAGTCCAGGCTTTACTGTCCACTGACTTCTGCAGAACTACTCATCGTCAATGTAACCCAACTGCAGAGAAGAGCCTCTACTGTGGACTGGGGCAGCCTGTCTTTGACAAGCTGGCTGACAGCAGCTAACGCACTTCTCATTTACCCAAAGACATGAAACATACACACAACCACACAGGCACAACACGCCATCCTCTCTTCAACCGTAAGGTGCACGGGACTTCCTGCCTCAGGTAGGTTGGTGAATAGGAGGTTGGTCACGTCTACTAGTGCAGTTTCCTTTACAGTCAGGAATTTTCACAAAAAAGGAAAATGAATATGGGAGGAGAGCAATTTTTTTGATTAAATAAAATCTTGACGAAGAACTTCTCTTTTGAAATCAGTGTCAAAGTTTTGGTTTCTATTTTTACTCCAATAATGCAAAGTCAAAATGTGTTGTGGGGGGGGGTTCTCTTCTGCGTCAGGTTCCTGCTAGTTGTCCGGGTGGAGAGTTGTATAGAGTCTAAAATTTAAAAGGAAAATCGGGAGAATTACAACACCTGGAGAGGGCGATAAAAAAAAAAAGCAAGAGTCTCCTGTGAAAATCAGGAGGGTTGGCATGTATATGGGTGATAGAAATCATTGTAACATGTAGCCTACTTAGACAAGTCTTGATGGTTTTAAATACTTAGGGCTTGTAGATACATAAAAAACAGATGGGGTAAGCACCTTCTCCCATAGATTTGACAAAACTCAAACTACTCCCAAAACAGTGGCAGAGGTTTTATTAGCGTTATCCAACCAGGTGTAGTCGCAGAAGAGTCGCTCCTTTTTGTGTGCGTAGAGAGTGTGTGGTTGAGCAAGAGAGGGGGAGCGGCAGGTGACCAGTGAAGTTTAGCAGTAAATGTACAGTGTAGGTTTATTTGTCAGCAAATAAAAGGCTGCAGATAAAATACCCGTGTTGTTTACCAGCTGCTGGAAAATTTAAGGGTGTTGAGCATTGTAGATGTCAAGCAGTTTCCAGCACCTACGCTGAGGGTTTACACTACAATACATCGGTCCAATAGAGTATCTCCGTATCAGCTTAACAGAAAAAGTAAAGTCTGTATTTTTGATTATACTTCAATTCATGCGATTGGGATTTCTGAATACCCGGGTATACATAATACAGTCCAAGCCTACCCTGTAATATAGTTACTTTAGAGTCTCTTGACTCCTATTAAAAATATTGTGTCAAAGGGATGAGGGATATCCCTCTTCTGAAAACGTCAAAGATTTTTTTTACTACTTTTACTCAAAGTCCAAATATGTTGCAATAAGGGACATCCCTGTTTTTACTCTTTTAGTTGCTTAATAGTCTTTTAAGTGTGCTTTGGCACCACCGTTACACAATTCCTTACAAAGAACTTATCTTTAAGAATGTTGATTAAATAGTTTGCTCTAATGCAAAATGTGTTGGCTGTTGGGGACTGACTATAAGAAATCTTGACTGTAAACTGCTCCTCAAATAGGTCTGTAGGTGAGTTTCCATTACTTTAACTTATTTAGCTGACACTTTTATCCAAACCGCCTTACAAGACTCTATAGAGTTCACACACCTCTGGAGCAACCAGGGGTTAAGTGTCTTGTTCAGGGACACATTAATGGATGTGTCGCAGTGGGAATCAAACCCGCGTATCTCACATGTGTCTTATCCACTCCACCATCCATCAATTTAAAATTTTTGCATTTCCTCTCAAGTTTAAGTGCAACTGGAGAAATGCTTGGCTGAAGCGAAGTCTATCAATAAAAGCTAAATGGGTCAATCCAATGGAAACATAGCAAATAAATCACTATGTAACATTAAATATAAATACATATTATATAACAAAATAAATAATGCATGAAAACAAATGCCATATATTTCCATCATCATTTGTCGACAAACCAGCAACCATTATGTGCATAACGGTAGTGGAAGAAAACATTAATTCACACTTTCTTTGGTGATTTTCTCTAAATTCGCTAAGTGTCAAAGCTTTGACGCAAGTGTTCTGCGGTAGGGGCAGTCTAGTGTTTCTTGGTAGTTCAACCTTGTGTACTTGGAAGAAGAATGGTCAAATATTGAAAACTATCCTACAGCGTAACAAGCTATAGTCCAAGTTATAGAGCTACCACCTATCATGATCGGCAATAAATGTACATTCCTTAAAATTAGGTGCTATTTGGTCCTCGAGAACGATAACTTTTCATTAACAAAACCACTCCAACCGAAGCTACAGACTTTGAATTTCTTGGTAGGGAAAGTTCCTTCTCATAGTCCAACACCTTTAAAGATGGTCAAACCTGTTAAAGAAAAACAAATTGTACACAACACCAACACACAGACATTACATTACAAGCTTTAAAATGTACACTTCGGTCAAGTCAATCAGAACTTGTAATTCTGTTTTGAAGGATGTTCAGATAGTGTGTATAGGATAATGTCTAGCAAAACTCTAAATTAGCCATGTTTTAATAAAAACATCTAATATTTTATTTAATACTTACTTCCTAAGAACATTAGCAAATTTTGTAAGCCGCGTTTTCATCTTTCATTTATCCCCATGTTTTAATATCCAATTGTCCAACTTGTACCAATTCCAAAGAACAGGTTATTTGACTTTGACCTTTTCTCTGTGTGTGAAATTCCTATTAGGTTACATTTAGTAAGGAAATTCATTTAAACATCTGTCAATGGACAGTCTCATTTACATAAGTGAATCCAAAAGGGGGTTTGTTGTTGCATTAAATTCTGTGTTAATCTTGATAAAGTGAGAAAAAAACTGAAGGAATAAAGCATCAAAAAAGGTATTTTTTTACTCTTGAAATTATTGTAATTATGATTTCATCTAGAAAAACAACTCAGTGTAGAAGCCATCTAAAAAGTATAACATCTGGAATAATCCCAAAGGCTGAAATTGGGTGAGGTAAATAAAGCTGGTTTAATGTTGCATTCATATTTAGTTTAAGGATGTGATCTGAAAGATTAACACACACTAACATTGGTCCACACACACAATGGTTGTAAATTGGAGACTGAAGTTAGATTTTCTAACGAGACCTATACACATAGGATTTAACCAACCAACCCCAATCTGGTCTTGTGGACTAGACCTACCCTTCCCATATACTTCCATTCCCACAACAGAAGTGCAAGGAGTTATGCAACTACATCATGTCTAAGATATTAAATAAATTGTCAAATTAATGACAATATACTTAAACATTATTGTAACTCTATAATGCCAATCCCTTTTTAAAAAAAGTACTTTCTAGAGAGAATTTCTGTTGACATTTCGGGATCTGCATTTTAAACGTTAAGAGTACACCATACATTTTGAAAATGTTTTCAAGATCCTTTAAGTTGCACCTTTACAAGTCAGTCAAACATCTTGGGGTTTTATGCATATAGTTGTTTTATCTACAGGGTTTTTAATGCAAGAGAAAAGCCACAAGGCTAGATCAGCGTCATTGCTTAACTGTATCCATACTATACAGAGTCAAGCCAAATGTGTTTGCTAATGCTGGCATCCTTGTTTTAATCCTCTGTTTTTCAGGTGTGAATCTTATGGAGGCTATTTGCACAAGTCCAGAGTTTTGGTTTCTTTGCTAAAGCATTCCTGAGTCCACGCTATACAGCCACATACTCCTCCACAGTCCAAAACCTTTAAAGCTGGTCAAACCTGTTAAAGAAAAAATGTACATAACACAAACACACGTAACATTGCAGGTGAACACTCCATGACATCCAGTTCTGTTACCAAAATCCTCCAAGTATCTGTAGTCCTCTCAGATGCCACACAAAGATGATTTTCTTGATACTTTATAACCAAGCAACAATTCTTTTATTTTTAAGTCTAGTGCAGTGTGCATTACCCTACAGTGCAGTGCACAAAATGAATGATACAAGTAATTTATAAATTTCTTGGTCTCTTTCATACTCCAGTGATTTGTCTTTGGCTATCTGACAAATTAGAAGGCCCATAGGACGCATTGAAGTCATCCAGTTACAGGTCCAAATGTTGTCCAAAGTCAGCCAGCGGACAAACACTGTTACAACAAAAGAGCACTACGCAAGTGACTCTAAAAAGGTAAGGCTGGAAGCCACTTATCTTAAAAATTAAAGCATTATAAAAATGTATCAGAAGCTGCACTGTTGTAATGACACTCAACTACACGTAATGTGAATACACTTTCAACAGTCTGCAGAATGTCAGTCAAGCTAGTGCCAGGGAAAAATAAACAAAAACGCTGTGTTTGAAATCACATACTAATGTGTTAATCCAACCAAGTATGACGTCAAGCTTAGGATGTTGTGTGTTTAAACTGCATGGTATGTGGATTTTGGGTACGCAAGGTACTAGATCGGCAGCAGGAAGAATGAGCTTTCTGCTCATAATTGCCCCAAAATGTATTGCGTCTCTGTCCAATAGTGAAGTGATAGCAGACGGTTCTTGGATCACACTAATTTGTTTACAATTGTCTTGCTTGCTTGTCTATACTATTTCATCACTAAATTGGGTAATAGGATTTTTGAAAATTGGCAGCTTTACAAAAACTGAGTAAATTGAAAATAAGCTCCAATGTTTTTAGAGTGGAGAACTCCAGAAGCACCTGTGGAGGTAGGTAGTAAGCCAGCCGGTCAGTCAAACTTAGTCTCCTCTTGCCCCAGAGACCACTGGAGCCAACGCAGCTGACAACTTCCGCAACATTTACATTTACTGTGTCGTATTGATTCCGAATAGTTAAGTGCTGCTTTAGGTAACCTTACGAGATAATGGCATACTTAATCGTTCATTTATTAGGCAGTATGCAGTACATTGTGACTGAGCAAGTAGTACGGTACGTTAGTATGAGATTTCAAACACATGCTTCATCTCAGAATATTCTCCATTTTCATAACAAAAATGCAGTCACGGTAACAATTATACTTGTCAAGATTGAAGTTGTAATTAATGCAAGCATACTTACACAGCACATCTCCTACCACAAAACTCAAATGCTTGCTGAGGCAAGCCAGCGTCTATTTGATGCCAAGTGATTTTACAATAGCTCAAAAGAGGTACTGACAGGATTCATGGGGAGCAGCCAAAGTGGGCAGCAGAACAAAAATATTTAATTTCATTTGCAAGGACAACTTAATAACGGGGGTGTCTTTCATAAGGTAATTATGATACAACTTGACTAGCAATTGATAAACTTGCAGAGTTTAGGTACAATCTGTTGTTTATGGGTTTAGATGATAACAAGGGGTAGCATGCCATCACAATTCAAGAGATTTGGTAAATTATCGCATGGTAATTAATACCAAGCATTATACATTCATTGTACCCAATTTTAAGGCTTTGCATCCTGCGTAGAAGGCAGCTAACTACATCTGTATAAATAAGGTTGTTAAGTGTTCCGTTTTCTTTTGAGACGATTTGTGGGCTCCTGCGCCTTGTAATATTGTCACAACACACATTAATGCAACTACAACCCCTCAAATACAGAAAGGGACTGGTCATTGGGCAATGTTGAATCTCAATAATAAGAGGCAGTGTGAGAAGTCAAGCCTCAAAACAGACCGAAACCAGAACTTTGGTAAAGTATATAAATACTGCAGTTTCTAGCTGTACCGAGGTAAAACAGTAAGGCTAGTCCATTACCCACAGTTAAACTGCAGAGCATGCGGGGAAACTTGTTTCAGCCACATGAAAATGGATCTGTGCAACCCAATTCACATTGAAATTCAGTGTTAAATGGTATTAGATTATGAAGCCAATTAAAACAGTCTTCCCTCTGTGTAGTGACAAAATTTAAAAGGGAATATACAAGCTGTCGACAGTGAAATGTCAGCATGTCTTGTGAGTAACAAAGTCGAAAAGGTGTAACAGAGTGTGTCCATTTTCCAATCCAATAACAGCCAACGATGAAGTTTACCTTACTTGATATTCTGAAAGCCAGAACTGAATCTCTGGATTTCTTGTCTTCTTACAGGTCCAGAAAAATGAATGCATCGTCACAGCACACAATTACAAGTAGTGCAAGTTTAGGATGTATATCTAATAGCAACACTGGCTATGTTTTCTGACTTGTGTTATACTAGTTTAACATAGCTCTATGAAAATCATTAATACACATGAATAGACTAGGGATTATATTTTTATCCATAGATGGAACTTAACTATATTTGAGCTTTAGTTTCTGGTGGTTATCCTGCTTTCAAAACTGACCACTATGCATGTTGTCAGCTGAGCCTCTTGCCACTAAAGGCAGATTTACTCATGCCAAGAAATAGTGTAACAATTACAGTCAACACCTAAAATGTCATGTCAATACTTCAAGACTCTGTTGACCTCTATTGTACCCAAAAAAGGTTTGTAAAGGATCAGTCAAACTTAGATAGTAACTTGGTGCCAACTAACTAAGAAGCTGTTACCATGTTTAAACTGTTTTCACTTTTATCACTTAGGGGACTGTGGTTATAGGCCTTGTATTTGCTTAATAACACTGCTAAAACAATGCCAACATCTAGTAATTTTGCATTGGGGCTTTTTAGGGCATTTTCACACCTTAAAAGGTCTGCCTTTTTGTTACACTGTACAGTTGATCCAGTTAGTTTTGGTTTCCCATTGCTATTATTCAAATGAATTAAAATATAGATGACATAGCTACATCCTGTCGTCATCACATAAGTGAGCTGCATCTCCCTATACTTTTGATTGGTTTGTAGAGGGGCATACGTCTGACAGACATGTTGTCAATCCAGCATGTAGCCTTCTATCGCAGCTTGAATGGAGAAAAATTAACATTAATTTCTCTGCAGCTATAATAACCATAATTAATAACTTTGTCTCTTCTCGCCATGTGCTACCAGGCGTAGTTTTGCTGCAATGCACTTTATGGTTCTGGCAATAGACTGCCAGAACTTAACAGAACCCATACAAAAAGAATGTTTGCACTAGAACGGAACAGTGGTTGGTTGGACCCGAACTGAGACCACATCGTTTTGTCAAAAAAGGTTCACACCTGCAATTGTGGTTTAGATCAAATGAGGCAGGTGTGAAAGGGCCCTTGTATCCTGATCTCAATGCTAGAAGCATAACTGAGGCTAAAAGCTTAATGATGTCCAAAAAGTCATCATTAAGAGAAATACAAAACAGTCAAAAGGTTGTTGCTTTCGTAATAAATAAATTTCATAACAATTTCAAACATAATCCAGATGCTACGACGAAGGCAACACTAACTAGAAGTGCAGTTTTTTTTGGTCACCTTTTCTATGACAATTGATGATTTTGCTACAAGTTTAATAAGCGTGACCAAGGTGATCCTATTATATTATTAGCCTGCATGTAAACACAGCCATTAACCCCTGGTTCCAAACATGCACACAAGACACACACTAATGTGCACAGTATGAGTGACAGGCGAGTAGGTGATGAGCGCGCACACACACACACACACACACACACACTTTCTTAATGGTTCTATGTGTAATATTTCTGCTCTCCTGAAGCAAGACTGTAAAATTACTGGATGCCAAAGTTTTATGTTTCAAAGAGTTGAGCACTCCATTTCCACTGAGTGCTTGTGGAGTGAAATTGTTTTAAAAATACACAATAAACTAAGTTTCCTTTACATTACAATATTAAGTGCCAACTAGTCTTTGTCTGTGCCATTTGCACTAGCCGTGTCCCAGCTTACTTATTTGTTAATAAACCGACAATAGTACGTATACAGGATGTCAGCTTGTTATCTGAATTTGCTGGGAAGAAAATAAAGAAAACAAGGTGGGACATTTGCAGCGAGCATATGCTTCAGACAGGCCACACAAATTTAGATTATGTTATATGCATCACTGAATAAAAGAGGTCAGGACTGTGGCAGATATAACACATAGAGCCATTAAGACCTAATGTGGCAGTTTTATCCACATTTCATTTTTTGCAAACAACCAACTGTTAGGATTTGGTTGCTTTTTGCTAACGAATTGTTCTTTTCAACTTTTAAGAATAAATGTTAAAGGTTTGTCCTGATAGAACCAATGTCTCTTTATTATAATACATGCTTTGACTCCAAATGTATGGCACAAAACACAGCCATAGAAAGTTGAGAAAAATGTTACAATTATCACTTCACGGCGACTCACAGAGCATAATACATCTAGAAAAGAAAATTATACATGGGTCAGAAAGAACTAACGGACCACATGTGATTGACCTCTTTCCATACTACTGACAACACAAAGTAAAAAATGAAAATATTGACTTAGTCATAAAATTGTCAATTGTCAAGCTAAAATGTAGCAACAATTTAAACTTAAATACAAGAAATGAATGCACGTTTGTTTTGGATAATCTATACAAATGGTGCTGCTGGGAGTGTCAAAGAGCAGCGTTTAAAAACGGGGTTTCTTAGACGGACCATCAAACTCCTCACGGACCCTGCCGAACCCCGGGTTACCAGGACCCATTCCCCTAGGACCACCCTGGGCGAAGCGCTCATTGCGCTGTGGGGGTCAATTTGCCAGGCAGATAGGAAGTTGGGGAATAAGGTATGGGATGTGTTCAGTGCGCAAGCACACAGTTCATGTCCATATGGAAATGTATAAAAGAAGGTATGGCAATAGGGGTGATTTTTATATCATGAGCAGATTTACAAAACAACCAGCAGGAGACACATCCGAAGAAACCGTTCGTTCCAATATGAAGGTCCACAGGTGCCACAGGTTACATACGGAAAAGGAAGAGAGGGTAATGCTTTTGTTAGTGAGTGCCTACCTAGTATGGTCTCTCCAGTGCATGCCAAGACTAGCCTATAGTCTTCTTTACTAGTTTTTAGGTCAAGCGTTTTGTAAATGCTGACCATATTTGTCTCTTCATGAGAATTGCATATATGAACAGTTAAATACCAAAACCTCTTGAATGAGGTCTTAACAAAAAAAAAGACATCTTTATAAAATATATAAAGTTAAAAAGAGACAAACTTTTTAGTCCTTTAGATGCAAGTAGAATTCAAGTTTCCTTAAAATTGTGGGGAAAATATGAGAGAGCTAGTATAACAAATTCTGACTGAACTAAGTTCCACAGTTTCCTGAAAAGAAATGATTGTGTATTAATCATCTATCCAGCGATCACAGCACCTCTTAGGGCACTGCATTGATAAAATGGAAAAAAAACTTAACTAATGGCGTCCAATGTGACAGGAACTGTACCAGAAATTCATCTGCAGAATTTTGGCACTGAGGGGGGGGTTACAGTAAAATGTAAACATTGCACAAGACATTCACCACCAACTTTTTCCTCCAACAACAAAGTAATCTGTTTATCAATATACACACTTTACATGCCATTTATGACAGATTTTGTGAAACTGTGTGGTAACGAGTGAACGTCTCAAAAGCCAAAAACCCAACAGAGGGGATGGCTTTGATTTACAGCACAAGGCCAGAATGGAACAATATAGTAACAACAGAACATATATGTAAAGTAGAATATGAATATATCTTGACCAGAATATACCCAGCATCAATCTGCTCAGCCTACTAAATTATAATAACTTTAACTGAGCTTTACAGTGTCAAGGTACTCACTTGATGGATTGCCAACTATATTGCCAACAAGCTTTAACCTAAAATTATTTTTTACTGCTTAAGCTTTTTCAAATTCACATTTAGGGTAAATGGTGCTTTAAATTCAAAGCAAGACTAAATACGTAGGCTAGCGTTTTATTAGCATGAGTAAAGTTTGACAAATTACAAATGTGAAGCGCACCATTCTTCAAATATGAAAGTAAGTTGAAGGACATATTGTACAACAAATGAAAGCTTTTTATATAGAATGTCAAAGCTTGATAAAGTAGTTTCTGGAAATGAGTTTCATTCACCTACAATGTTAACACACATTTAGCCGTTCTTACCGTCAACGGTAATCAAGAAACAAACTTAGTACTGATACTATAATTCCGCCAGAAGCAGTCCAGTATTCACCAATAACATCCTACACAAATATGGTAACAAGGCTGCCTGCCCCCATCAATTAATCCTGCTGTAATATAAAATTTTTAATTATCTTCTTTCAAGATTGAATACCTTATACCGTCAGCCTGCACTAAAAGCATTTTAACTGCTCAGTTACAAAAAAAGATGACGATAGGAAGGTACAGGTTGCTGGTCCAGAAGATGAACTACACCCCCAACACGTAGCATGTTCATACAACTTCATTTCTTCTCATGACAGGCGATACATGAAACTGCTAGCACAGTATGAAAAAGGGATTAAAAACTAAAAACACAGTCAACTATTAAGAGAAAAAACACTGGTAGATGCCATTCTGCCCCCGGTCAAGAAAAAGTGCCTGTCCCGCTCACATGAGACAGGGCTTGCAATAGCAGTCCACTACACAAACGCTGTGATAAAGGTGAGCAGAGCCACTGAAGTCTGTCTACAGCTGTCAGAAAGCACCCCGGAGAGCAATTTATTATGATTTAGTGCAGGTTGACGGTTTTGTAGCTGGAATGCAGCAAGATTCAGGTGAAGGTAACTGAGGGGGCTTGGCTTGCCAATGAAAGAAACCCTATCAGGCAGGCAGCATCTGTCACATTCACCAACCAGCAAGCCACATGAAGATGGCTGGGAACACAAATCATTCCGATTTTCTCATCTTGCTTGGCCAGCTGGCCATGTTTAAAATCAGCTGGGAGTCTTTCAAACAGAGATGAAAGCCAAACACAAACTACATTAACTACTGATCTTCCAAAAAGTGAGATACGTTACCATTTCGTTGCCCATCAAGCCTCCTGATGATGGTCCCATTCCCTGCTTTCCCTCAAAGCCCAGTCCACCCATGGGGAACTTCTGGTTGGATCCACCAAAGGGCATATCTAATAGAAACAACATGCAAACAAGTCAAGTACACATACTGCACTTACAAATAAAATCATCAGATAAACGGAGCCTGTTGATCAAAGATGATTTAGTAAAATTAGACATATTTTAGGGATAAATATTTACATAGACATCAGTGAGTCATTTGAAAGGTAATCACACAACCTTGAAAAAGAAGAACATAGAAACAAGGTACCCCCGGGGTTCTCAGTTAAATTTAAGACCTTTTCAATACCATTTAGAATGAAATTTAAAGCTAACTTCACGGCTATACTGGCAAAAGTAAAGGACATAATAAAGCCCAAGAAATGTATTTTTTGATAAGTACTTGAATTTAATAAAATGTATAATACTACTACTCACATTCATATTTAATACATAATAGCTTTGTGAGAAAAAGATGTGTATTTGCTGCATTAGGAGCCCACAAAGAGGAACTGAGCAAAACTCCTCATAAGCTTGACACTGCTTTTCTTAATTTCAGTAGCCAGCAAGGCTAGCTGATTGGCTAAGCAAACCGTGAACTGTAGTTCTATAGAGCTAACAGGTAGTCAGCTGATGTGCAAGTAGTAAAACATGTTATACATTTGACAGTTATTTATAACGTAATGGTATTTATTTAATCCAATGAAAGAACAAACTTTTTAAGACCTTTGTAAATTAATTAAATTAGTTCTAAACCATCAATGGAATTACTGAAAAACAACTTACCACCCATGCCCAAAGCTCCACCAGGAGTCATCCTTATATCCCTGTCCCTCTGTAATAAAGACATGAGAAGAAACATTAAAACTTGAAATGCTGATAAATTAGCAAGGTCCACTGCACATAAGTAATAGTGTTGTATTCTAAGAGCAAGTTTAACTCACATCCATGAAGTTGCCCATCCTGTAGTTCTCCTCACGCTGGCGGCGCATCTGTTCTTCCATCTCCCTCTTGCGAAGCATCTCTTCCTCCCGCCTGCGTCGCTCTTCTTCTTGTCTGTTTACAAAGATGAAAATAGAAAATCAAATTAATTTCTTTTTAAAAAGGAGAACAGTGGGCAAACGTGTACAAATTTACTCATCATTGTTAACGGCGCTGAAATATACTATCCCAGACAGTATAGGACAAGGTAAATGACTAACATGTGCCTCAATCTACAACCAAACAGAATTATCACTAACAAATACCTGAGCTGCATCTCTTTCCTCTTCTGCATCTCCTGACTGTGCAACTCCTCCATGCGTCGCAGTTCCTCCTGTCGCCTCAGAAGATCTGAAAGGAAGCATGAAGCAAACACATTTAATTATGGCACCTGTGAGTGTTCGCCACATCATGTGAGTGACATCTTTTGTAGTAATAAATAAAATATTTTTAAACCTAACATCACTTGCCTTGTCGGAGCAGGTTGGCCTGGTGCTCATGGTAAGCGTCCTCCATCTCACTCTCCAACTTCTCACGAGCCTCACGCATGTTCTTCTCTACCTGTTGCCTCTGCTGCTTCTCCATTTCATCCAGGGACTTCCATCGCTTGGAGTATTCGAATTCGAAAGTGCCTGGACGAGCAAAACGAGGAGGTTCCTCACGCTCTCTGTAGATGCAAAAAACACAATATACAGGTATGTTAAGTTGAACAGGTTGTCCCATTGAGTTCTGCCCTGTAGGATGGAAACACTAAAGCCATGTTAAATGCTGTATAGCAAACATGGGTGCAAAAATATTTTGAGTTGGTGGGAAAAACAATGTCTGACGAAAAAACAGCATAGGCAGAGTTCTTTTTAACCCATATTATAGAAACAACCCAATTTTTCATCCCAATTAAACTTTTCATTAATACTAAATCTTATATTGCTTGCAGTATAGGTACTTTAAAGGCTGCAGACAACCCCCTTTCTGCTGTTTCTCTTGATTTACAGATTAACATCTGTCACTCCACACAGAAGATTGATTTTAACAGCTGCAATCCCCCACCCCCAACACTTACATCTACATGACACCATCTGCTGCTCACAAATGACTTGAAGCAAATAATTTACATAATAAAGATTATTGTGCCCGAGACTTAAGTGCACCTTTGTCAACTCAAATTTTAAAAACAGCTTTACTTATTCCCACAAAGGCAAATGTATGATGTGAACACAACAAATAGTGATACACTTACGCTTGATATCTGGGGTTTTTCTGGGCCAATTTCTCTGGAAGACCATCTTCATCATCAAACTGCTCCAGAGGCTCAACCACAACAGGCCGGGGTTGCCTGAAAACGATGAAACAAACACAATAAGCAAAAGGTTTCACGCGTCTTTTCCGGGGTATGTTGACTCATTGAGCGTATGTTGACTCATTGAGCGCAACAATGTGCTTTTGGAAATTTAGCTGCGCTTACGTGGTGAGCAGGAATACCCCCTCGTTGCACCGATCCAGGGCCTTTCTGGCAGCAGGTTTGGAGGCAAATTCGACAATGCCTTTGCCGGTGGATCGCCCACGGTCATCCACAATGACAATGGCCCTCTCGACCATTCCAAACTGTGAGAAAGCTTCTTCCAGGAGCTCATTGGAAACAAATGGTGACAGATTCTTCACAGACAAAGCTGCAGAGTGTGTAGCAAATCGGACACGCAGGGGTCTGCCTTTCATAGGTGTGTCATCCAACTCTGCTTTTGCTATCTCTGCAAGTGCACGGGACTCCTGCAAGAAATTAAATGCAACTTTTAAAAAGCGACTTGTTCATCTTAATTGCAGCAATATTCCCGTGAATGTATGAAATGAATATCTTACCAATCGGATGAAGCCAAAGCCTTTGTTTTTGTTGATGAAGACCTCGCTGGGCTCCCCATATTTTGCAAACAGCTTCTTGAAATCTTCCTCTGTGATGTCGTTGGGCAGGTTCCCAATGAACAGACGACACCGCTGTGTGTATGACTTCTCACCAGGTTTCAACAACATGGACAGTGTTGCAATAAAAGGCTGTTGATAGACAATAACAATGTGAATTAAATTAAACTCTCAGATCTATGTGCTAAACCAAATAATACCATTATACGCAAACGACAAAAAATAAAATCAGAGCTGAAAAGGATACATTATAATATATAATTATTAGTTTGTAAAAAGTCTTGTTCATATAAGTGCTCGCGTAACATCAATTCACTATTGACAACCAAATGCCCATCCCCCACACACTGCGAGTGTCCAAAGGGAAATAACCCACATTTTCTGAAGTTAGTCTTCGGAAAACTTGCGTACGCGAGATGAGTGAAGAAAACAAATTGGTTCTCAAGAGTAGTATAACAGTATACTAGTACGTTCATATTGTATTTGTTTGTTTTACTGACGTTAGAACAAATGTGACTGCACGGCCATTGAACAAGATGGCGGACAGCAGGGGCTACTAAACCAGAGTGTGCGTGATTTCAGTCTCGGCTGGTACCGCCATTACCCGCACCAAACAGACGAATTAAGACCAGATTAAGACCGATGATACAGACTGGTAGCCGTTGAGAGAACCCAGAATAGACCGCCCGCTCGGGCAGCACAGTAATAGATATCGAGCGTATTGGCAGTCGTGCCGAATGAGCTAGCATTAGCTAACAACAATGGCTGTCGACGCCATTTGCAGCAGAACATGTAAAAAAATAAATAAAATTAAAATAAATACAGACCTTCGGCTGGCTCCCTCCGGACTCCGCTTCAGCGATGTCCATATTATCCGGTACCTCCCGCTCTTGTCTGGGGGGCATCATCGGTGGCCCTGTTCTCTGGCCTTGAGGAGGGCCTGTCCTCTGGCCTTGCTGTGGTCCTGGTTTCGGGCCCTGCTGTGGCGACGGCTTAGGGCCTTGCTGTGGCGACGGCTTCGGGTGTGGAGGCTGCTTCTGCTGCTGTCCGTTAGCATTCCCCACCGGTGACTTGAGCTGCGGGTTCTGGTTCTTGTTTGCCTGGTTAGGTGGAGGGGAGGTCATGATGGGTTTGGGCGCAGGTGACTGAATCTTCGGCTGGGGTGTAACGTTAGGGGTTGTCGGTGTCCGTTGCTGCTGCGGATCCGGCTGTTGTTCTGCCGGCTTCTGCTGCTGCTGCATCGGGCCTTTCATTGTGAGAGCCGGGCCGGGGCTCGGCGGAGGGATTATTGGCAGCGACTGGTTCTGTTGTGGTTTTTGGGGAGCCAGCTGTGGACCCTGATTTCCCGGTCTGTTGAAGTTATTGTTTGCTCCTCTCCGGTTTTGGTTTTGATTTTGAAAAGGATGGCTCCGGAAATTCGGGTTTCCCATTAGCCCACCGCGCATCGGGCCGCCGGGCCCACCGCCTCTACGTTGCTGGAAATTATTCATCCCAAGGCCGCCACGATTATTGTTAAATCGAGACATTGATCCTTATATCAGCAAAAACTTAAAAATACGTTTTAGACTTACTGCTTAACAACCGCGTCCTACCGGTGTTTGCAGGTCGCACTCCTCAAAATGGCGACTAACGGTTGAGCCTACAGTGGTCTTTCTTCTCCAGCACACGGAGAGCCGCCCCGCTCTGCTCATTGGTCCGCTGCTCGACAGGAGGAGGAACCACCGCGACGTTTAGTCGCCACCCAGAGATTTTGATTTTGCTCTTGTTTTGGGAGTTTGAACGCTGCTTCTCCATGTTTAGTTTTGACTCTGGGGACGAACTGAGAGGTATGGATGGTTCATAACGTACCATAACCAATCAGTGCTTTATAAACCAACAGCAGTATTTTGAAATCAATTATTTGTCAGATAGGAGGCCATGTAAAGACCTCAGAACTGGAGTGATGTGATCCACTTTGTTGGTCTTAGTGGGGACTGGAGCAGCAGCTTCTGAATTAGCTGCAGATGTCTGATCAGTTCTTTAGGGAGACCCGTAAAGACACCGTTACAGTAGTCGAGTCAAATGAAGATAAATGCATGAACACGTTTTTCCTGGTCCTGCTTTGAACAATATCATAGTCTTTAGGTGATTGTAGGCTGACTTTTTAATTGTCTGAATGTGGCTGCTGAAATTCAGGTCTGACTCCATGACTACACCAAGATTTCAGGCTTGAGTTTTGTGATTTTTAACATTACTGACTGAAGGGGAGCACTGACTTTTAAATAATTCTTTCTTGGCTCCAAAAACAATCTCTTCAGTTTTATCTTTGTTTAATTTAAGGCAATTCCATCACACCAATCATTGATTTGTTTATTGCAGTTACTCAGCGCTTGTATGGGATCATAGTTCCCTGGTGATATGGTTAACAACTGGGCTGTTTGTCCCTTGTTCCTTGTTCCAACCATAGACTGTGTAAAACAAGGTTCCAACAAAATATAGCATCTATACCAAATGTCACTTCTTACTGGAACCAGTTTGTCAATTATCTGTGCTTTAGAAATGTTTGGATGTTGCCCCATAAATACTTAGGCTACTTATAAACAAGGTGAAGGACAGATCCTTTAGGATTATTTGTGGGGTTGGGCGATATACATACACTAACATACATTTATTAAATTTAGCTGATGCTTTTATCCAAAGCGACTTACAATTGCTTTATATGTAAGAGGTCGCACGCCTCTGGAGCAACTAGGGGTAAAGTGTCTTGCTCAGGGACATTGGTGTCTCATAGTGGATTCGAACCTGGGTCTCTCACACCAAAAGGCATGTGTCTTATCCACTGCACTGTCACCACCCCCAAAATGGCCAAAAATGTTATCACGATAAAAAAACAAAATCATGCTATTGATAGCTATCACTATCAATATTTATAGACAATTATTTTTCTAGTTTAAAGGCCAATTTTTTTCCTTCTGAGTGTAAGCTGAAAGAAACCTGATGAACACAGCAAACACTTGATGCCAAACAATGGATCACTTAACAAATCTGAGGTTCAAAACATTCAAAACAATTGTGATAAAATCCTTTTTCAAAACATATGCATGAGTAAAATTAAGTAAAATGTTTTTGTTGGTCCCTTTATTAAACAAATCACATTTCTGAATAGAAATTAAATGCTAATTTGTTCATGATTTAGATGAATTAACTCAAACATTTATTTGAACATTTATTAGTGTTAATTATCATTATTGTTTATTGCCCAGCCCTAATTATTTGTAGAGTCTACCCTATCAAGCATTACATGAAGAGGTTTAAATTGATTCTAACTGTACTTTCTCTGAGACTCATATAAACACTGCAATACATATGTTTAGGCTTGTGTTTATGAAAAACAGTTTTGGCGGTACGTTTGTACATTCATGAATGATTGTATATATTCAGGTTTTAGCTTGTTTTGGCAGAATGTCTTATATTTAACATTGTGACCATTATTTCCTAATTAACTTTGTTGCTTTTGGCTAATTTTCATATACACAAATGCAGATTTACAAAGAAAAAAAAATTGTTTATAATCCTTGAAAAATAAATTTAACTTTATTTTAGTACGATTAGTTTCTCCTTCAACAAAAAGACTTTGAAGATGTTTAAATTTGTTTACACTCCCATTCCTTAAATGAATGACAGCCAAACAAAATGGAACATTCTCTGAAAAAAAAGGTTGTATTATTATCAAGTTTAAGGGGGGTTATTTAATTAGCATTATAATAGATTTTATTTGAGTACAAATCAATTGTCTGCAGCATACTTGGTCTGAACAACAACAAAAAATCACAAATCAAATTGCCAAAAAGAACCATTCGTTCAAAAAGCTATTTGTCCCACCACTCTCCCAAAACAGGTAAACCTGACCACTTTTTGTTTTAATACAATTTTGTTTAAAGACACCCAAATTGGTCAAAATATCTCACAGTGATCATAGTCCATGATCATAGGGTTTTAATGAAGGATGTACCTGTATCTTATCCACTTTTACCAACCTTTTGTATAAATTTTGATAGTTAAAACTGATGATTGCAGACCAGTATAGTATATGCAGAAGTAAAATGATATGGTTTGGTAAATAAATAAGGTAGGGAACCTTTGACCTCCCATTTGTGGTCACTATGAGAAAGTGCTTTGTAGTCGAGTCACAAATTTGATGAATTCATGCCTGAAATCTAAAGACTGACCATAGGCAAAAATTACATGTGACAACATGAGCTCTTTGACTTAAACCCTCCTACAAACATGGAATACATTTGAAAGTAATTAGCACATGCACATTTATTTGTATTTTCCCGATTCACACTTTCACTAGTAGTCTTTTTGGTGCTATGTTGAAATGGCACTAAAGAACGAAAGACGTATTTTTTGGTGATTTAGAAAACAATGACTTGTTCCTATGTCTGTCTCAAGGTATATTTGGCATTGAGCCTTAATTATAGATTTTCATGCCAGTCTTTTACCAAGTTAACCAATCTTACGCTATATATACACAATTATGAAAAAGACACAACTCAAATGGACTTTTTTTGTCATTTATTCCGCATACATTTTGGAAACAAAAAAAAGCTGAGAGACCACCAGTCTCGCTTCAACATGTTTTCTTAATGCTCATCATTATAAACAGACACACACACAAAAAAGGATGAGATGACAATGTTGACAAAACACAACAGAACATACATCCAAAAAACACATGTAGAAAGTTTAACCAAAAACAACATACAACCCAGGAAAAAACACAAAACGGTGCAACAATCGTCACACGAGGGGAAGTGTTGGAATTATAAAAAAGGTGTCAAGAGAAAAAAAGAAACTAAATAAAGAGAAGTGAAAAAAAGCAGGGCTGCATCAGAGATTCAAAGTGACGGGGAAAATATAAAAAGGACTCCAGGAGATAAGAGACATTCATTAGTGATTAGTGAACAACAATCAAAACAGATGTCTTTGCTCCTTTTCCACTTGTTTTTTTAAAATCAGGGTTGAGAACAGTAATATAGAGCAGGTAATCATGAGAACAAAATTAACATTCACAAAGGAAAATGCAGAACACCTGATATATATATATATATTTTAAGCACACACACGACTCCTCAGAGTTACACTCCTATGTCCAAGGATCACAAGTTCATCAAGATTAACTTTTTTTAATTTGTAAAATCACCCTTCTGTTATGTTGGAACAGCTTCTTGCCAAAGCCCTCCCAGTGTATAGCCGTTTGTTTTGTTTTTAAAGAAGTGAACTATAATAGTGTTGGGTTTAAGTTTAAATCTGACCTTTTATGTTCTATTAGTGGGTTACAGTAAGTTGCCAAAGGAGGGAGCTGTGAAGTGAATATTTTCTTACACTTTCTTGGAAATAAATAGTCTACGCCAGTTTTAAACTCAGGACTGATTTGATGTCGTGGAAAACAATACGGAGGAGTTTAAAACACACAAACTCACTAATTTAATCAACTGGGAGTAATGGAGAGGAGGCTGATGCTGAAACAGGAACACTTGAAATGGGGAGGAATGAGTAAAAGAAGGGTGGGAAGAACAGTGAAACGACTCATGGTGTGCAGTCTTTGCGGGCCTGCAACCATCTGCAGTGATGCATTATCACACTGGTCAGTCATTCCCCCTTTTTTTTTTTTTAAAGAAATGTAATGAGGTAATTTTACATGAAGAATCACATCAAAGATGGAAGAGATTGCTGATATGCAGGTGTGGAAGTTTTGAAATAAACAGCACAGGGTGGCAAAAGCATCAATTGATTTGTTTTCTTTTATTTCAATTGGATTTTCTTCATATAATTCAAGATATTTTATCACACTCATTTAAAAAAAGAAAAAGAAATGTGAAGCCCCCCATGGATGTTGGTACTTTAATAAAAGGGACAACCATTGGCGATGCAAGACCCGGACAGGCTGCAGTGCTCATAGGGTGGTAGGCGGTGGAACAGATGGCTGCTCCAGCTCTAAAACCAGCACTCACTGCACCCGAGTCAGACTCCAACACTGGAGTGTAGCCGCAGCCAGACAGAATTTCACCTGGCGAAATTTAATCGTGTGGTGTGTGTTTGGGGGAAAGCAGGAGGGGCCAGGAAAAGTCTTGGGAAGGGTTGTAAACATAAACTGCAAGAGCCAGCATGGCTAGCAGGCCAACAACAGCAGTCCACAAAGTCGTAAACAATACAACGTTTTATCATAACAACTTTACTGTAAGAAACCTCTGTCACCGTCCTTGCACTCACTGCATCCCTTCTTCTCTGCTGCTTGTAATATTTAAGCAAGACTGCGTTAAAGCAAGACTATAAACAACCGACATTTCCTGGAATTAGTAAATCCCACCTTTTCTCTAAAAACTGGCTGGACATTGGAGAGCCTCAAACTCAGGCAGGTCAATTCGCGACAAGAAGCAAATGTATCTCGCCCCATTCCACGAACGGGAAGCGAAATCAGGTCTGACTGCGCCTTAGTATGGTCACTGACAGCATCAGGAAGGTGTTAACCCACGTATCCGGTCTCAATCTTAGTGATGGTTTTCCACTTAATGTCTCACAAACTGACACAGCAATGAAAGAGGGAAGGGTGTAGCAGTTGAAGCAATGAAGCAAAATGAGGTAAAAGTGGAGAAAAACTGAGGTTGTTTAAATAAAACCAAAGGGAATGTATTGTGACAGTCAGTGTTTCTCCCTACGAATGGCTAAGACTTGTGAGTGCGAGCACATGGTTGTGTTAAAACCAAATCAGTGTGTTGTTGGATTGGACCACATGGAGAAGCATGTTTTGTGTAGCGGTGTGGATCAAATCAATATTATCAAATGTGTGTGTCTTTTCATGCGCGTGTTTGTTATCATGTCGGTGTGTGTGGAAGAGGGGGTGCTCATGGCTGTTTCCTGTGGGAGAATGGCAGATCAGGAGTGAGAGGTCAGTGTCTCAGGGGGTCACATTGGGGATGAGGTGAGGTCAGATTCGGGGCAAGTACTTCTCGATAAATTCCTTTACAGCCGCCATCTCCTACAAAAGAACAAAAGGAAAATAAATTTAAAATAGGATGGGACAGTTCCTTAAATCATCAGGAGCGACACAAAGGGCATCAAAATGTTCAATCAACACTAAAAACAACAACTTAAATGTCAAAATGAAAACACATTTTTGCAAACAATAAATCCCCCATGCAGGAATACCTGAGGACAGGAGCTGTGAGGGAGCCCTGGGAAGGTTTTGAAGGTGATCATCTGAGGGTTGACTATGGATTTGAGTTTTTCTGCCGTCATAGCACCAAACTGCACTGGGATCATGACGTCCATCTCGCCGTGGCACTGCAGGATCGGGATGTTCTTGTTGCCGCTTGACGCCTGCAGGACAAACACAACAAAGAATGACACCGCTTCCTAACATACAACGAGACACATAGCTTAACTGCTGACGCTTGTTCGTGTTAAATGATATCCAAAGCAATTCTGGTTAAAAGTGTTTTTTCTTGGTTTGGACAAAGTAAAACTGTGACTGTACCGATGGGAAACTCCTGTGAAGTGGTAGCCAACAACTGAGGGCCACAACGCCCGCCAGCTGATGCTGGCAGGTCAAGGCGGTATACAAGGACAAAGCCCCACCCTGAGGAGGAAGCAGACACAGAGAGAGAAGTTTATTATATGCATTAATTTACATTTCTTAATATATTGCTACAAACATCACTCTTGTGGAATATAAAACAACGCTAAGATATAAAGCCCTACCTGAGAGAAGCCACCGAGTATTATACGGTGTGGGGGGATCCCATTTTTGGCCTCATGTTCGATTATGGCCTTGACTAGAGAGGAAAGGAAGAACAATTAAGAGTTAACATATAATGCAGATTATCAAACAAACCCTTCAGATGTAAACGAGTAAGGAGTGATTTCCTTTAAGTTTTTTCAAGTACCAATTTGAGGTACTTGTATTACTTGAGTATTTTCTTCTCATGCTATGTTGTACCTACTTGCTTCACTATTATCAGCTTTAGTTACTTTACAAATGAAGAGTTTTGCTCACAAAACATATGAATATGTGCAAGTACAGCTGAAACGATAAGTCGATAACTCAAGGGACAGAAATTTGACAAACTATTTTTAGCGTTTTTCAAGTAAAACATTGCAGATTTGCTTCTTTTCTTTTAACTTTATTTTTTAGTCATTCTGAGTTTTGGACTGCTGGTTGGACAAAATTGTGAATGTGTCACTTTGGCTACAAGTTAATTGTAATTTCTCACTATTTTAAAGACAAACCAAACAATCAATCAGTTAATGGAGAAAAGTATCAGCAGATGAATCCATAATTAAAACAATCATTAGTTGTAGTCCGATACAAAATACTTCAAAATGAGCTCCACCTACTACAACAGTAAAATCCTGCTTTTACATGCATGCATGAGAAATAATAATCTGATATATCGTTTAATACTTCAACAGTCACAGGGTCATTTTATTGCCTTCAGTACTTTTACTTTTAAGTACATTTTCCAAATAATACTTACATAATTTTACTTAAGTAACTTTTTAAATCCAGGATTTTCTGAATACTGCAAAACATTTACTATACATTGGCTCCATGTTACTTTTAGGATTCATTTCAAATTTTTAACTGAAGGGAGTTGTTGTGCTGTCTGACCACTGGGAGGAGACTTGGGTCTTCATTATGTTTCTGGCTGTTGACTAAAGGTATGTCCGAAACAAATCAGTTCATGTTTGATTATTAGACAAGCACTTCGTTTGAGTTATACAGACACCTTACGGGCTCCAGAAAAGGTATTCCTGGATTTTTTAAGATTGAAAGAAATGGATGAAAGGTGATTTTACTTTGCTGTTCTTCACACCTTTAAAAAGCACCTTAACCTCCCTTTGTTTGCTTTGTCTTTTCCTAATTTTATAAAATTATATTTTATGGTTTTTTCACTTTATTCTGCTTGTTTCATACAAACTGTCTCCTCTTTCTGTTTTTTTACACCAAATTGTCATTTCTTATTAAGTTTCCTTGCTTCTAGGTATGTGCAATTATTTTATTTTAATTTATTTATTTATTTTATTATATATATATATATAAAAATAATATCTATCTCACATTTTTACGCCTAGAAAAGACAGAAATCAGTTTTTCAGATGATCTTTCTGGCATGTTTGCCTTCATTAGCTGGTCAACAGTAGACAGTGACAGGAAACAGGAAGTGTGGAATAAAATGTGATAAAGGCTCTCAGCCAGAATGACATGGATTTAGTTGTCGATAAACTATTACGAAACACATTAACCAGTAACAATGTTGTCCTGGGTGACATGTTCCTTCATGACAATGAACGTGGGCATTGTACTTTATTTTGACTCATTCCCTTATACACCATCCTGCTGCTGGAAATACTCACTGGAGCATGTGAAACGTGTATTAATCAGTAGTGGAATATAACATATTTACTGTATTTACATACTCTAATTTATAGGTACTGGTATCTACAGAATCAGAAAGAGCTTTACTGCCAAGTAGTATTTTACACGTACGAGGAATTTGCTACGGTGATTGGGTGTTAGACATAAACATAAACATACAGTTGACATAAATAGATTTAAAAATAAATAAATATAGAATAAACATAAATGACTTTTGGTATTGATGCCAATACTTTTGTATTATATATTATACTTTTGTAATGCATCTCCGCCGTCATAGACCAGCATTAAAACATTAAACTCACTGTTGTCTGCTGCCTTCTTGATTCCAGATTCATCCTCTGGGGACTCGGGGCTGAGACCCATGAGGTCAAACCTGCAAGCATGCAGAGGCGAGCATTTAAGGAAATCAATAGATACAATCGCAGCATTGTCAATGACGATACGGGAGCCTATTGTGGTTTCCAGGGAAACAATAGCACCCAGTGTTGGGCTAAAAGGCAGTCTCTTTCATCACGCCAACTCACCACGCGGGCATCATCGACTTCATGTTGAGAGTGACGGGAATTGGGGGCCTGCAGGGGGGAAAAGGAAGGAAGAGAAATGAAAACATGGCAGTCTGCGTGGGAGATCACCAGCAGCCAGGAGCTAAATGTTGGTGGATTGATTAATTCACTCAACAAGACAGAATGATCAATAAGCTATTGGTTTGAAGATGATTTTGCCCTCTTGACGGGGAAAAAAAACTGGATATTTGTTCACAGGTTCATTTTGTACTTCACTCCACACAACCACACGAATAAAAAGATGTTAGTTTTCCTTCCTGCTGACAAGAGACAGTGTTGAATGCATAAAATATGACAGAAGGATTGGAGAGTAAAAAGACTTACGCGTGGGGGCAGATGAACTTGACGTGAGGCAGCTGGATCCCCGTCAAAGTGTCTGCCCACCCATGCCTGACAGAAAACAAGAGAGAAAACAAATGTTAGTTTTTAATATGCAGAACATCAAACCCAAATGTACTACAAGTTAGTACAATGTGAAATACAGCGTGTAGCAGCATATGTAGTCTACAAATAAACATCACTTCTACACACGGTAAAAATTTGCACTTGAGGTACAATTAGGCATTTATGGGAAAAACACCCACCACAGGAGATATTTTTGATCTCCATTGTAGAGAAGCACTGACACGATTTAACATCTGATTAAGTGAATCACTCGACATCAAGTGCTGATTTGAGAGCTTTTCAAATGAGTCATTTGTGATGTGAATGTGTGTGGTGTATTATGAAATTAAACTACATGAATGTGGGCATCAATTACCGCATTAACACATAGCCACTAAATGGATCTCTGGCAGTTTGAACAGCTAAATGTAATGAAGCCTGTAGCCCGGATTTCAGGAATACTGAGGTAATTCCTGAAATCACTGGGTGTGTCATGAGTTCACACACACCCAACAGGTTTTGATCAACCACAAAAACAAAACTATGTAACATTTAAAGAAATCAGTATTAAAAAACAACAACTTTACATGTTTTCTTTGTTCATTTTTACATTTAAAGTCCACCTCCACTTAAAAATGTGTTTTTCTTATCGGTACTTCACTGAGATGTTTTCACCTTCACTGTGCAGATTGATGAATGTGCTAGTTTGGCATCGGAGTTTGGTATTCATCTTCTGAAGGGGGAGAGTTTCTCTGAGCTCACCTTGAATCTCAGTTTAACACGTGGACGTACCAGCAGGAATTTGTGATGTGGAAACTTTAATCCTCCAAATTTATTTAGTCTTAAAATATCAGAATCAGATTCTTTTTATTTTTAAACAAAACCAGGAGCACATTTCAGTCTGTACCAAAAAAAAGAATTGAGGGTCGACACCCAGCCAATTAAAAGTATCTGAAATATCTGAGGCAGGAAATTAACTTGCCAGTACAGAGTATGAGGTGTACTAAATCTCTCACTGAGGGCTGAACACATACATATTCCACATGAATTAAGAGGAGATTAAAACATCACTCACCCTGAGTCTCCCAACCCGTGAAGAAAGATCACCTGTAGTACAGATTAAAAAAAAGTGGTTAGGACTTTCTCTTAAATGTTCATACAGGGAAACGGTGAAGGTTTCTTAGCATTTCCCTCTAAATGCAGGTACAAAGACCTGTTTCTGACAGTGACTGATCACATTGGACACATTAATTGCTGAAGGGAGGAAACCGGTGAATTATTTTCAGTTCCATCTCACACTTCACAAATGTATGACTGTACTGGTCTTGTGTACACGATGTATGACTGGTAAACGTGCATTTTGTATGCCAATCGTTCATTATTCCAAGATAAGCTCTCGGTGCCAGTTTCCACACAAGCTACTCCCTGCTGAGAAACCATGAAAGGGGCCAACAACACTGCTCGTTGGCTGGAAATCAGTGACTCTGCAGTCTTTGCAGAGATCAAAACACTTTTCTTCCATGTAGGGTTTGAGACGAGGTTCAGAGCTGGAACCTGTGACATTCAGCTTTGATCCTGGTGTTTAACGAATCCCTGCACTGTACCTGACAACAGCACCTTTCATTTTTACACTCAGATCCAGCTGAGCATCAACACAAAGTGTCTGCTCACTGTACTTGTTACACCTACTGCTACAGGTGCAGCTATAGTCGTTGCTTCTAATTACAAAGGAAAGGTGTTTATTAAGAACCATGACACAATGATTTGATGGTGCACATTGCTTTTAAAGGCAAAAGCAATACTCTGTGTAAACCAAACTTTATTACACACGATACTTAAAAATGTAGCAGTAGTTAAGCAAAACTCTTGGCCAGACCAAGAGGCAACCTCCAGGTCTGAAAAGTGGAGCCAATACTGAAGTGCCTTAAACCTGCATTCTTTCTAATGGCCAACAGGGGGCGCCTCCACTGATTGCAAAAAAGTCAGATATACGACAGAAATAACCCTACTTCTTACTTGATTTATTACCTCAGTAACCCCTTTCCTAATGAGTGTATGGTCTCAATTGCTAGTTTCAAGTCTTCCTTTAATAAAGCATGATGTTCATTTAGTAAATCAGGGTCGCATTTAGAGGAAAATAGACGATAAAGCAGGAATGCTTTGACGCGTGGCTATCTTGTGATTGAAGTTGCAACCATTATCAATCAGGATAGAGGCACCCTCTTATCCAAGTCCGGTCACGTCTGGTTCCAAAAAACCGAGATGTCAACAACCAAAATGCCAAACTCGAGGCTTTAAAACAGTAGTCCACAAATCAGTGGGTGACATCATGGTGGCTACATCCACTTCAAGCTTCAAACCTAAGATTTAAAAAAATGCGAGGGGATGTGTTGGGGGAGGTGTATCGTTTCAGGTGAGATGATCAAAAACAATCCATCCAATCAATAACATTATGTTGAAGGGCAAATAAAGGGATATGTCCTGCCTCTTAAATTCTCTACCTGGAAAGTCAGCAGCCAAAGTAAAGACCCAGTATATGGGAAGGTATTTTGGTTTTAATATCCCTTTAATTTCAAGCACTACATCTCAGTAACTCTCTGATCTAGTTTAAAGAAGCAAGACGGACAGCTGAGAAAGCAAGTGTTCAGGCTGACCTGTCAGACAGCTTCAAGGCCACAGAAAACCTTCAGTCATGAATCAAATTGCCTTGTTCGATTCCCGCAACTGAAAGTGTCCTTGAGCTAGATGTCGACACCCTTTCCTCACCCATTCCCCTCATCTGATCTAAATATGAGTATCAATAAAATTAAAACATCTGAGGTTTTGTGGTTTCACTCACCGCTGCGGTCTCCTTTTCCATCCCGGACACCGTCACAGCCTCGGCGAGCAGCGGCACAGACATGTTGTTGCCACACATACACTGTAAGAGGTGCTGGAGGCAGAAGGAAGGACAGAAACGTCAGAGGTCACCTGAGTACGGATCGCAGTGTGGATCTACGTACATGTACATCGAGGCCGAATTAAAAGCTTTATTTAACTCATACATTTCAGGAACCTTCTGAGCAATTTGCAAAGTGTTCTCATTTATTTTCAGCCCTCATATTTATCATGAAACTGTTCACATGACAAGATACAACAGGAAACAACAACACCTACTCAAAGTTTAATCTTTACATCTTTTATTCCTGTGGTTTTAGAACCATTAGTCAAGACTTTCTTAAGAAAGTCAAGATTTTCTGGATGATAAATGTTTTTAATTATACAAACATATCGGTTTACACAAACAATCTACTTTGCTTCTAATGCACCAGCCCTAGGCTCTGGAGTCATTTGATTACATCATATTAAAAATCGGGAAACTTGTTTTCCCCGATTTCTAGATCTGCAGGACAAGTGAACAGTGCAAGATCAATAAAGCTGACAGGGACGTAATGATGATGATTAACGAGAAGGATTTCTAAAAATGTTCAATGTTTAATGCACGCAGCCTTCGATTATTACTCCGATAAGCTTTACAAGCAAGGGTGAGTGGTCTGTGGACGTTTTAGCCCTGGGTTTTGCCTCTCAGGTTTCAAACAGGCTACTACGCCCTCAGATTGGTAGAGGGCAATTACTTCCACTTCCTGTGGTGCATGTGTGCATTAGGATCAGTTTTTATTCACTGTAAGTATTCTCCTAAAGAGACAAGGTAATCAGTAAAGGACAGCGCTCATTTTAGGAAAAGATGTAAGTAAAACATTGTGTGTTGTGTAGAGTTAGTGAATTATAATACAGCCATTTACATAGAATTTCAAACTTTTTGTTGGAATACCATCAGGACTGCAACTAACAATTATTTTCATTATCGAATAATCTGCTGATTATTTTATCAATTCAATCGTTAAGACTGTAAAAATGTTTACAATTTCTCCAAGCCAGTAGTGATGTCTTCAATTTTGCATGTCCTATCCGACAAGCTGTCCAAAACCTAAAGATTTTCAATTTACTGTCATACGACAAAAAAAGCAGGAAATCCTGAGTAAAAATGGCAATATTTGGCCATTAATAATCGATTATCAACATAGTTGCAGATTACTTGACCAATATTGGCTTTTTACAGACATGTTGATGTACATGTTGGCTAAAAAGTAACAAGAAATGTCAGCACAGATATGTCAAACTGAATTTGATACATTCTCGAACACATCGGGTATCTTCTGAAGACTATTTAGACTCTGAAGTACAACACCTAATGTTTCGAGGCTTCCGAAACATATAAGGGATATCCAGGACAAGACGTCCTCTTCCGTGCGCTGGTCATCGTTCACGGTCCGATTAGTAATCCCGGATTTGATTGCAGCTAAATTCAAAAGCTAATATCTAGATTTCGAGATTGATAAAAACCTAACTCTATATATAGTGAAGATTATTGTTTATCTTATGCATTTATGTACAGAAAAACATCTATCTGCCTCTATATCATCAGATTTTTTAACTCGCAATATCCAAATCCATATAGACCTCAAAAATCCAGTTCAGGCTCTACTGCTGATAATTTTCTGTTGAACGACAGTGTACAGTGGTGTCTGTCACAAAGTCTGACAATGAACAGCACAGTGATTATTATCAGCGCAGCCATTCAGTCTGCAGACAGCAACAACAAAGCTGAACATACCACTTACACACACAAACACATAATGAACCTGCTGCTGTACCTAAAACAGCAGTCATGAGGTGTTTGTGTGAGTCGGGGAGGTTTCTGTAGTCAGCAAGTCACGAGACTCATTAACTAAACGAAACACACTCCCTCTCTGTGCTGTACTCTGTAAAACGGCCACCGACGTACATCCCTCTGCTCAGTGAGTCAGCCACCGATAACAAGCATGAGGTCAGGGGGTTGTTTTACAGTAACATTAAGCATTGAAAGCCTTCACTCATTAATGCCTCTAACTTTCTGATGATGTCTGACAGGATGAGGCACGCCGGGACAGGCGAGTCAGACGTTGTGCTGCCTGATTGGTAAATAGGCGATGAGGAGACAGGAAAATGTCTGCAACGCAAAGGTTACTGTGTAATCACTGAGCGGGTTTATACTCTACGGGTGTTAAAACTCCACCCGTTATGGCCGGATCAGATTTTCCTGTGTGTTTGCTCTTTGGCAGGTGACAAATTATCCTCTGAAGGTCAAATTCACAGCTGAAATTCGTGGAAGTGGACGGTAAATGTGTGATTTAAGTGTCCAAAGTGTCGACAAAAGAAGGTTGTTTTTGCCCTACATCCTGACCCTTGATAAATGAGTAGTTGAATAATAACTGGGCAGGGTTACGCTCCAGGAAACAGTCTCTTTCAGTGCAAAGTTCTGGTTTGAATCATCAAACAGTATCAGGAGGATATTTTCCACATTAATGTTTTAGCGGCAGTAATGGTACTAAGTACATTCATGTACTGCAAGTACAATTTCTGGTATTTAACTTGAGTATTTCTATTTAATGCTACTTTTTTCTTTGACTTCACTACATTTCAGAGGGAAATGCTGTACTTTTTACTCTATTTATCCAATAACTATAATATCTACTTTTTCAGATTCCACATTTAAAAATATATATCTTATAAGCTTGTAAAATACAATGTATAGTTAAAGATTAAACCAATTGTTCCTGACCTTTCTGACTTGTGTCTTCTTTTTGGCACCATGTCAGACTGTCTGATTGTCAGGAGTTACACGAGGAGCGATTTCCCCTCTGGACTGGTTTCATTTATATTACATTTATTCATTCTTACACAACTATTTGACGATCAAAGATGTCAAATTACTTTACAAAATGAAAAATACTGTGAAAAAACAAATAGACAAATTTGTATGACACAACTTCTTTTTTCCCCACTCCCATTAATCACCGATTTACTTTATGGTCTTTTAGAGGGGGCCGGACCCCTAGGGTGGAAACCACTGGACCTAGGGATGAAACTGAAACCGGTTTAGCAATAAACCACGATAAATTCCCGATGATTAGTATTACCGTTTCAAATTTTAATTATCATTAAAACCATGTTCGATGACCGCACTTTGGGTCAATGAAAACATGGCGGAAGGCAGTGACAGCGCTCCGAAGATTTTCCAGCCTGTCTGAAGTCTGAATGGTGTCGTATTTTGTTTTTTATAAGAGTGGTAAGGGAAACTTGATCAAAGAAAATCACTTTAAAACGAATACAGGGCAAGTTAACTTTTAGCACAATGCATTATGTCATAGTTTTTGTTTGACTTATAAACTGAAGCTCTCAGTGTTACTTTCTCTAAAAAACACTACGCGTTGTTCTGTAGCTGTATGGACCCTGTGTATTTTTGTCAAATTTGTGTTTTGGGTTGTACAGGTGTTCCAACAGGAGAGACGCTATAGACTCCTGTACAAGACTCCTCTGTATTTATTTAATTTGTTGGGCTCATTGCAGTTACTATCACGGCCTTCTTAAAACTTATTTGTATTTCTGTAAATTGTGCATGGGGTTACTGCATATACTTTATACCATCTTTAATTTAATTTTAATGCACATTTCATATGTTTTTCATAGGTTGACATAAGGTGTGGGCTGTTATTTTAATGTTACGCAAAAAAAAAAAGATGCTGCTAGTTTGTGGTTTTAAACTTGGTGAAACGGTTTCAGTGTGTGTATCAGTACTTTCAACATTTTAACAATACTGCGCTAATACTGGCAACAGTGATCATTTTTGTCATAATCGCAACAACAATAAAAGGTACATTTTGCTGATCATACCTCTGTACGGTTACTTAAGTAGGATTTAAACGCAGGCCTTTTACTTGTAAAGGAGTATTTTAAGACTGTGGTATTGGTACTTCAACGTGGGAACAGACACAGACAATAGAACTAAGAGCAGACCACAAAAGAAGAGAAGTGACAGAAGGAAAGTCATAAGAAAAGCAATTGAGGAGTGAGAGACAGGAGTGCAGGAACACTGGACAGTCTGTTCGGACAAGTAGGACAAGCCTCCCAAAATAGATAGCATATGCAAAGAGGATTAATCACTTTTATACCCTTTTTTCCACCTGTTTTTGTTCAGCAGATTAACAATGACCCGTAACGCAGACTACCAGCATAATGCACCACGTGGGCTGTCAATGCACGCTCTAAGATACAATAGCTCACTCTCTATGCTTATGGAGGAGGCCGGTGGTTAAAAATAGTGTCACACTGTGCACAAGCATCTAGTCCTATTCAAGTTGGGTCTTAAAAAAAAAAAAAAAAAACTACTGAAAACAAGACTTGTTCCAGTATACATGTTCTATATAATCTATGTTTCCATGCACACATCTCATGACTCCTTAAGCAACTGAACGGATGCAGCAACAACCTGGTTATTAATGTTTGCTTTCATTTTCCAACCCTTTGTCAGTAATGATAAATATTTAAACTACACTCCTGGGAAGCCTTAAAAAAAAACAAATAGGCATAAATTACACATATTGCTGTTTGAATGTTTGTCGTTAAGTCTTCTCCTGATGTCAAATGCTGTGAATGTTAAACACTAATTTACAATTTTCTGCTATTTTATAGACTAAACAACTAATGGATTAATCAACAGATTCATTACAACCGTTAGTTGCAGCACTATTAGAGTAAATGTTTGATTAAAAAAAAAAATGCTGTTTGATACCCCAAGTACTTTCATATGTTTGAGTCAATAGCAATTTCTCAGTGTTACTCTCAGGTGACACAACAGAGGAAGGAAATAAAAGAAAAACGCTGCCTTTGTTGAAGCCAACTTAAACCATATCACGAGTCTGCATCCTGCATGACTCCAATTACATTTATGTCAAACGCAAAAAAAAAAAAAAGAAAAAAAAAAAAAGAAGCGTGCTGCAGTCCGAGTGCGCGCACACACACACACACACACACACACAAAGACCAGGCTGCTGCATTCAAACTGCTCTTTGCTCAGTGGCTACGGGTGGCTGGCAAACAACAGGATAATATGCGGCACTGAGTGACAGGCATCCTCCCCGACACACACCAGCAGCTAACCCCGCTCTCCGCCCGCTGCTGGAGGCCAGATATCTGGAGTAGACACACACCGCAGACACACACCGCAGTCAAAGCGAAAACAGTGCGGTTAAACCGGCCAGTGTTGGCAAATAAAAACACTCAGTTTCGGTAGCTGAAGCAGAGGAAGCGGGTGGCGGGGGTGGGGGGTGTCGAAGAGGAAGGAGACAATGAATGGTTGTAGCTTAGCTATATTATACGACCCTTCATCCTCAGTTGTGATGGCATCCAGCAGCGCAGAGCACTCGGGTTTAATCCCGGTTTAGCTGGCCACACACACATCTACACAATACCCGGGGCTAGTGGTGGAGCTGCTAGCTAACGACTCTCACACACACACATAATTGCATTGTGTTCTGCCGGTGTCTCTCTCTTAGTGTGCCTCAGGCTAACGCTGCGATTCAAACTCGAACATCTAACATGGCTTGTTTCATAGAAGAGCCCCTAAGCAACAAAAGGGCTCCATTAAGAACTAGTTTGTGCGCGGATAAAATGGTGAAAATGAACCCCGCGGCCCGCTAGCTGATACAGATTCATACACTCACCGCTTGCTGTCCCAGTTCTCGATGGAACGGAACTTCCGCTACTGGCCGCACACAGGCAGGGGGCGGGGACAGAACGCGGAGACGTCATCACACGGAGACGCCCATTGGCTACTCGGATACTACTAATTATCTCACAACAGTCTCAATCTGGGATCAATGTGTGGATGATATAGTATAGAAGAAAGCATAGTTTCTACCTAATCAATACTTGATCCCCAGTAAAATAAAATAAATCTCCTTTAAACACATACATTTTATTCAGCCTATCTACCGTTTTGAACAAGTATAGCTCCAGAATGATACAATAAAACATCTTCTTGCCTATACAATTATAAAATATATATTTATAGTTTCAAAAAACACATTGCTCTAACATGTACGTATCATCCATATATAAATGCACGCTTTTTATACTGCATATAGACATGTATGCATGCACATACTGTACATAACCACCCACTTCCTGTTTATAAAATAATCTATTACATTACCCAGTCAGTGTGTATTTGTTTACAATCTACATAATACTTGATTGGTATATACACATTGTAGGTTGTTAGTCATTGTTGCTTTTTATATATTGTTATATATACACCTATTTATTCACTTACACGCAGTGTTGGGAGGGTTACTTTCTAAATGTAATAGGTTACTGATTACAAGTTATAGTAGTGTAACTATTTCAAGTTCTTTATCAAAGTAATGTACCTTATTACATTTAATTTTTGATTACTTTTCAAAATTTCTAATGACTGTTTTTTAACTGTTAACCATTTTAAAAAGACAGCTTGAGAGGCGAATGTATGGTGCTGGCAGACTGGCTGCAAATCCAAAAGTGGTTACTACACAGATGTTGATGGAAATGGCAAAGGAAGACATTGTGCATGTGAAAAACATGCAAAGCAACTAAATAAATATTATTCAACATAAATATTATTCAACATATAGCCTAAATTTTTACAGCACATATTCAGATGTAACCCCCAATGTAATCATGAACATTTTCATAAAATTAATTGTTATTTAATTACACATTTTTTCCCAGTAACTAACAGTTACAGTTATTTTATAATTAAATTACGTAACTAATTTACATGTAGCTAGTTACTCCCCAACACTGCCTACTTGTATGTACACAATATGTTTATTTATAGTTACTGGTTACTGTTCTTATCAAGATTTTACGTTCAAAACATATGATCTGTTTATGAAACATGAAACATTGTTATACATAACACTACATCCAATGAGATACTATAACACTGACAGGGATCATTCTGTATAATAAGAAGTTTTACTTTTTGATTTTCATACTTTTTACTTGTAATGGAGTATTTTTATTATATTGCATTTTGTGTCCATAGCACTTTATTTCCATTAGCTTGAGTTGCTGATGTCATTGAAACATGATATTCATGACTTCTGTAGATCATATCAAGAGACACGCTGCTACTGAGTTTTCCAAATGTAATTTGTACTTTGAGCAGCAAAACGATCTGCATGGATAAACAACACTAGAGTTAAGTGATGAATTGTGTGAAGAAAATTAAACGTGTATTTATGAATATTTGCTTCTGAAAAGTACCATGTGAGATAATAAGATTAACACACATATTTACTACATCATCTAACTAAAAACACCAGAGCAGACATTAAACTGTATGTGCCTGAAGTGCACTGTCAAGCATAAAACTAATTATTCTTCCAATTGCCTTTTTTTAAAAACAGAAATAATCTTGGAGAGAAATCTGGGCCTCCTCACTGAGCTCATACAGTCCCATAAATGCACTCACAGGCAGCCACTGACTGCATGGTGACGCCCTGCATTACTAACTCAATGAAGTCATTAATGGCATAACAGACATCAGGCTTCTTAGAGATGTCCAAGGGTGTCCCACAAGGTTCAATTTTAGCTCCTATTTTATTTTCTGTATTTATACATAACATTGGAAATGATTTGCAAACTACCTTTATGCGGATGGCAAAGTGATATATTCAGTTGCTCCTTCACTGAACCAAGTGAACTATAAATAAATAAATGAATAAACTATAAATAAACAAACTATTAATGTGCTACAGTTAGCTTTTCAACAGCTTCAAGTCTTACCACATAAATTGAAGTTAGTTTATGACATTTTCAAAGACTCATTCCAAATCCCCAGGTAACAACTATCAACACACTAAATGGAGACTCATTAGAAAAAGTGTCATCATATAAGTGTTTTAGTTTGTGGACGGATAACATGTTCATGTTGAAAACCTTGTGAAGAACCTGTAACTGAGGGTAGGTTTTAATTTTCAAAACAAGGCTTGTTTTAACATGATAGCCAGTAAAAAAGAAACTTGTGCAGGGTACCTTTTTAGGGGTTTTGGACAATGGTGATGTTGTCTACATGCATGCTGCCTCTAATCCGTGCCACCTTTTAGATTCTGTTTACCATAGTGCCCTATGTTTTATAATCAACTCTGTTTCCCAGTCTTCACCATTTTACACTTTATGATCTGGTAGACTGGCCAGTCAGTACAATTTCATTTGTATACTTCTGTATACAAAGCCAGGCTTGGTAAACTGCCGACATATAGGCCAACGTAATGTAAGCTTTCATCTCCTGTTCCACCGGGTGGCTCTCTTACCAGGTTCCAAGAGTTTTCACTGATCTTGGGGGAAAAAACTCTTACTTTGCTCCCTGGACTTGGAATAAACTAACTACATCTACTGTAAATTATCTAGTCCCATTAAAGGAATTTAAAGTCATGTTAAAACTCCATATAACTGAAAAATCTAGCTGCCTCATGTGAGCTGGATTTAAACTCTTTTATGTGAACTTTATTTCACTTGTTTTTATTTCTATTTTAATTTTGTGGGCTGTCTTGGCCAGGTTTCCCTCAATCTCAAGGGACTTTCTTGTTACATAAAGGTTAAATAAATGAATAACTAATGAAAATGGAAGGTGTGAAGATAAGACTGTTTAGGCAGTTCAAGGCAGTAAGGTTTGGTATAACACCTCTTTCAGATGGCAACATGGGAGATACATGTTTGAACTGAGATTTTATTGTAGAGGAATCACAACTCAGCTTGTTCAGGTCTGCAGTGACTGAAAAGAGGGAACAGATCTCTACCGCGGGAAGCGTTGGTCCAAGTCTGAGTCTCAACACCTCATATGGGTTTTCAGTTCAGTTCTTCAACACCACTGGCCTCGCTCTTCTCAGATGACCACAAACTTAATTAACTGTGTCAACACACCACATAGCTGTTGGGAATTTATCTCAGAGATAAAGTGAGGAAAGGCAAAAAGCATTTAGCACTATAGAAAACTGTGCTAACAAGGAGAGTCAGTCACATAATGAACCACTAGGTGGCAGAAATTATCCAGCACTTAGTGGGCAATGTGTTCACTTTACAAATGGCAAATAACGTCATTTTATAGTTGTTACATGAATTTTCATGTATCCAGAGTGGCTTAAAATGTGTATAATCTGACTTGCATATTTTACTGCAGATGTTAAAGAGCAGATGAAGTTTCTTTACAGGTTTCATACCGAATACTAATTGCATTAAAATAGAGTGTAAACATGGTAACCCAAAAAGCACATAGACTTGGTTTAATTCCAGCCTTCAGTGTTTTATTTAAGAGTAGCTGTCACATTAGTGAAGTGTATCTTTAGACATGATTTAGAGTATAGGAGTTAAACTGGTTAACAACAGAAGTTATCTGAGTGTCAAATGTTTCATGCGTTTATTATTAAGCTTTTTGCCCACATTAAGCATTCACTCTTTATTGCCATAGAAATCAGAGCAACAACTCGGCACTTCCAGACACATCTGAAGCTCTCTGCTCTTCAGGTTTCTGTGCTCAGTCCCGGTTGAGCTCAACCAACCTGCCGGTATGCAGCGTTGAACTCATCTTCAACATCGACTTTTTGACCACTGTCAAGCAGATGCCACTGAAACCTCTTCTCCTCCTCCTCCTTCTCCTCTCTCTCCCTCTCTGAAGCGTTCAGGAGATGAAGTTAGTTTGCGGGATGATGCTCTCCACTTTGTGATCTGCAGGGTTTGCTGCTGCCTCGTAGTTACAGATCGTCACTTCGTGTCTGTGAGCCTAAACAAGCCCACAGAGAGAAGAAAAACACATTTAAAAATACAGTGTTTCAGGTTAAAGCTATTAAATTCACACACACTTCTAAAAGACCATGGAATTTTATTTTCATTTTGTGTCTTTGAAATTGTGTCACATGAATTAATTTAAATCTCCTCTGGGATGGCGTTGCCAACTATCCCGAGGTCTAGGCTAAAAACTAAAGGAGACAGGACCTTTGTTGTCAGGGCCCCTACACTTGGAACAAGTCTACCAGAGCAGATCAGGCTCAGAATCCTATTTATACAAAAAAAACTTTCTGTTCTCCAATATTTGTATATTAACTTTTTTATGTATATAATCTTGTTTACGTTTTATTGTTTGAATACAAACCCCTATGTGATGCGCAATTTTATTTTTTTAATGTTACATTGAAGTGTTTTATGTTTTGTTCGTTGCACACCACTGTGGCTGTTACAGATTTTTATTCAACTTGTCTGTTTTACATTGACTACTGTAAATCACTTGTTACCTGTATTGAAAAGTTCTATACAAATAGAGCTATTATTTCTATTGGTTATTTTGTCTGACTAGCAGTCCAAAACACAAAGATATGGAGTTTACTATCATAGAAGAAGAAAAACAAAAGCAGATCCTCACAATTGACCACAAAATATTTGGCATTTTGCTTAATAATTTACACTATTAACAGATTGTAAAAATAGTTT